ATGAGCCCCTGCCCTCTCTCTCTCTCTGCAGCAGGTAGCTGGTCCCTCATACTGTCTGTTAATCATTGGAAAAGCATAACCAGAGTGGTACGCTTGCTGTTACTCTTTGGATTAAATAGGCCCGTTAGGTTCCTGCTGTCTGAAATGCATTGTATAGCTCTTGCTCTAACAGTTCTTATACTTGCTACTGGGCGTTCATGAGAAGCTCAGCCTAGCTGCACATATGCCTTGTTGACACCTTGAAAGCTGCATGTTTGTAATGTGCCACTTCCCTCACTCATATGTTGCTTTGGAGAAAAGTGTCAGCTAAATAAACAAATATAAAACGATATTTGAAATGTGTAAGTAGTGTATACTTGCTATTTGTCTCCCTCTTGTGGCCAGTTACGCAAACAGCACTGTAGTCAAAATATTTTGATCAACTGTACTTCAAAATACAACATATAAGTAAATGGACATAATAAAAAACACACACATATAACACGAGGAGCTTAAGCACCTTAACCTTAATCAGCAATGAACCAGCCTCATCTTACATAACCCAAGTGTAGAAAAAACCTAATATATATAATTTCATGCTTATTTTTCTATGCATCAAGAAAGAATAACATGTTCTCTTGGCTTGTCCCTTACGCTGCTTGGAGTTGGCTTCAGGCCTTCATAATTGTGCTTTATAAGTTGCTAGATGATGGATGAATCTACACAGTCGTTTTAACTGCATAGAATTACATAAAAGAAATATTCTACTCGGACATGTATTACACACTTAGATAACTTTAAATTGGTGGACTTTATGCATTGATTTCCTTGTGTATTTAGAGATGTCATACATGGCTGGGGTGTCATAGATACATAAAATGCCTCTTTTGAGAACAGGTAAGTCATCATCTCCATTTTGTTAAACACAAAGCGTCACTTAGCCATTACCGGCCTTTAATGATGCAATAATAGGACTCTGTTCTCTTGTGAGTGAGCCCAGAGAAACTCATTATGTCTCATCGTTTAAAACACTTCTAATCACTGTCACCAATATCACACCTTTCAAACACAGGGACTCATTAAACTGTCACACTCCCTGCAATTCAGGGACATGTTTGCATCTTCTTGCATCACACAGACACACATGCTAGATGTGATGATGGGGGTTCACCAGAAATCCAGGTGTCTCCCTCTGACCTTTTAGGCCTCTCCATACAACTGCAACTAGCAAGATAGTGTGGGATAATCTGCAGAAGTCGCAGAATAAACAGGTTACACTATTACTGCAGTCCAAGCAAAACTTCCGGTCCTGCCATCTTATACGGGCTTCACCAAATTACTTTTCACATACACATTCAAATTGTTCCAACAAATAAACACACGTGTCAAATCAAACCATTGAGGTCTCCTTGACTGAAATTTTGTTAACATATATTAAATGAAGAAAATTTTGGGCAACTTTAAGGCTTGTAATTACTGTCACTCAAGCAAACCCATTCACCTAGTGTTCATTTGGTAATTCATAATTTCATATTTGGAGCAGCATAACCGAAATGACATACTTGCTAAAAAGAGAGGCACCTTCTACATTACAAAGCTTTTGTCTCCCCCTTGTGGTGAGTTACTTGAAATTCACTGTATTGAGAATTACCTTCATCACCATGTACTCATGACCCTGCATTGCGTATGTTGTTGGAAGATGGATGGATGATTCATTAAATTAAAAATAATGAGTTTAGCCACCTGATACTTGCAGTGCAAATTTAATCAGGACTAAAGACATCAATACATTGTAACAGGGTTCTGTTTTGTTCTGACACGGACAGCCTACAGCTTAGTGTATTGTGCTACATAAAAATTGATTTTTTTTTTGTTTGTTAAAAGAGTGACATTTTTCCGTAAGGCAAGCATCACTCCTTGGAATGCTGGTATGCTGTTCCTGACTTCTGTGTAGTCGGACATTGGATCATTATCTCTGAGGCCTGAATGAGGTGGAAATCTACTTTGCACTCTATTCCACGTCCATAATTCCCCATAAACTGGGCTTGAGTTGTCATAGGATGGATGTGGGTGTCATCCTTCTGTGGAAAAAATGACAACCATCCTCATCGAAAATATACCATTATACCCCCGTCGCCCCGCACCCCAGCACCCCTACCACCCCCTTGAAATATTTTTAGAACTTGACCTCTGCCCAAAAAGGCTTAATGGTGGTGACTAAGGAGGCTATGTTTCATTTCGTCCTGGTGACCATGGGACCACTGTTGGATTTCTATGGGGGTGTGTTATCATTTTGGGACATGAGGTAATCAAAAAGTTTTCTGCACTGTAGAGTGCCTGGTGCTGTAAAATGATGTCATATGCAAAGGCAATCCTTTCATGCCGTCAGACGGTTCTCAGACTGCGAGCATGGTTCTTAAAACATCTCAGCTAAACAAATCATTCAGGGCTCATTCATTCGGGGCTTTGGGCCTGCAGTCTCCAGCTCATGATGCATCAACTCATATGTCTTGGCCATTATGTAATGATGCAGAGCAACCGTTGGACAGGTCGGGAATTCAGGACTTCTGCTCCTTGTGCCAGGATAGGTGTCCTTGTACACTGGCTATAGACATAAGAAGTAGCTTTAAAATCCGGCTTTGTGAAGCTCCCTATGTTATGTTGTTGTGTCACAGAGATGCTGATTTGCTTGTGTGTTTTTAGAGGGCATATATTTGGGGTAACAACTATCCTGTTAGGCGTTTATTTGTCACTGTGAGATAGCGTCTGACTTTGACACTGTAGTTTGTTGGTGTTTAATACATGTTGTCATGAGTTTTGAGATTGGTGCCTTTGACACATAATATTATTTTGTAGTTTTTTGATTGATGCACCTGTAATTTGGGGTCTGATTATTTTGCCCATTTCCAATTATCAGTCGCCTCAAGGTGCTTTGAAAACTCATATATAAAGTGATGCCCTGTTTCAGAGCCGTCGCGTCATTTTGATAATTGACAAACACTCCAATATGCCTTACTGTTGAAGCTCTTTATGTAACTGTAAATTGTTAAGGCCCATTTTTTAGTGTTATTTCCATTGTTGTGTTCACTCCTGTATTTGTTGATGTAGTTGTTACTGTCTCCCTCTAGTGGTAAAATACATCATGCACTGTAGCCATAATATCTATGTACTTCATACAAAAAATAAGCAAACTATATAACTTAACCTTTCAAACTTGCACATTAAGTGATAAATCACCCTGCTGTTCTCCGTCATACATTATGTATACATACAGACGCAAATTTTGCACGATGCAAACAGGCTCGTGGATTCACCTGAAATCATCCGTCCTCTCATGTTCAAATAAATGTAAGTTTACCTTTTATTCATTAGCAAAATGTTGGCTAGAGTTTTTGTTTAAATAAACATTAAGACTGGTTATTAATAGAAAGCTTTAAGTGCTACAGGCTTCATAGTTTATGCATTACATAGGCAGGCCCTGGGTTAAGAAGGTCCGACTTACGGACAACTCATATTTACAAATGGTCTGCCATAAAGTCTCTCATATTAAAAATGCAGGTCAAATATAATGGTTTGTAATAACAAATGCACGCACCACTTAGTGACGCTCATGAAAACACTGCGCAGCTCCAGCAGTTCCATACCGTATGCAGTAACTTTTATTATTACAGCGTTATTATTGTTCCAACTTACCTACACATTTGACTTAAAGACAGACTTGCTCGTAACCTGGGGACGGCCCTAGTTCATTTTATGTTACCGTATTTTACGCACTATAAGGCGCACTAAAAAGCCTTTGATTTTCTTAAAAAATAACAGTGCGCCTTATAATCCAGTGCGCTTTAATAAAAACGTGGATTAATTTTTGTTGTGCATACTGAACTCGAAGCGATTTGAATGTTTTAGTATTGAAAAGTGAGTGTATTGTGTAGTGCTTCACGTGTTATAAATGAACAATTTCAAGAGTTATTATGAATACGCTGACTTTTGATTTAGCGGTATAGGACCGTATTATAAGTGTTCAATTTTGAGTTATTGTTAATAGGCTGACTTTCGATTTAGCGGTATAAGACTTTTTTTACGTGTTAAAAAGTAGTGAAGACGCTCATAAACGTTTGAACAATGTTGACAGTCATTGTGAACACGTAATGTAAAATTAATTTTCGTTGACTGGCTTATCTGACTGTTTTGTTTTGCTTAAAGCGCCTTAAAGTCCGGTGCGCCTTGTATGTGGAAAAAGTTTGAAAATAGACCACTGATTGACGGTGCGCCTTATAATGCAGTGCGCGTTATAGTGCGGAAAATACGGTATAACCCACAGAAAGTGCTGAGCTGCACACACTACAGGAGAGCCTAGTATTACCTGTCCGGGATTTTAGTCTTGCTCCGCAACTTGAGACATTTATTAGTGTCAGAATCGGTCTACAAGGCCTGAGGTTTGTAGGGAGGACAGGAGTTACCTGGAGACCGTGATCTTAGATAAGACAAGGTTGCCATTGATAGACAGTTGGTATAATGATAAAATATCATCCTACCCAAAGCGATCTACTCAGCTTAAAGTTTTTGCACCACCAGCATTATATTATTGAAACATTTCTAAATGTCTTCAGGCCAACACTGAGTAATCAAACACATTTGCAAATGTATATATGATAGATTATATACATTGAAAATATATACAACCCTTCCTAGGTGGGGTAACACCTCTGATGGTTATGATGTGAATGCAACACCTTAGACAGGCTCTTCTGCATGCCTGTGCTCCAGAATTCCAAGAAGTGCAAATTAGGTCACGTACAAATGAGGTCATGTTACATAATCCTACATAAATTAAGGAGGGAAAACACCGCCACTCAACCGGATCGTACAAGCTCATCTCCTATGCTAGTAGCACAGGTGCGGAGGAGTATGTGATGTTGTGGATATTGTCCCCCTCTAGTGGTGAATAATACACATTACAGTTAAAGGGCATTACAGTTTTAGATTAAAGTTTGACTATGGCATAATAATTAAACAAAGTCTTTTAAGCACAAAGCAGTTATTTATTCCATAACGAATTTGGTAATTTACTGTATATTGTTACTGGTGTTAAACATCTACTAGCAAGTCATATTTAGTGGAATGTGCTCATATATATTTTTCAGTATCAACATCCATCATTCACTCCAGCAAATGCAGGGGAAACCCCATCCAAAAGAATAATAATTCCCTCAAACCATAGGTACTTGTCATTTCATTAATGTTTTAACATTTAATTAAGGGTACATTACAATTTTATAGACAGAACACCTTGTGAGAATTGAATCAGGATAATGGTAGATACTTAATACTTTACTTTTGGAAACAAGACAATTTGACAGGGAAACATCATAAATGAATGTGTTCTATCTGGGGGTATCTGGGTTAACAACACTTAAGTATGTCAAGTGGTATTTTACTTAAGTGCTTAAATAATTAGTTGGAAAAAAAAAAACAACCACCGTAACCTTATATTATATTTGGGTATAATGAAGCTTCGCAAAGTCAAACTAGAAATTGATTACCGTGGTATCCAAGGCTAAATAATCCCTCTCTCTCCATATTCTATGGATATGGCTTCCTCTGTCGTCGCTTTGAATGATCATCCTGAAGAGCTGAAGTGCACTCAGCCCTGGACTGGCCATCTGGCATCTTCCCGGGGAGTCCATGGGCCCCCCCCCCCCTTCCGATGTGAGAGGCCCCAAAGACCGGTGGCCAATTCCTAATCCCAGTCAAACCCCAAGTCCTTGTTGCAGTTAAGTTCTCACACAAACCATATTTATAGGATTATATATTTGTAGGAAAAGGCCTGGTTCTTTCAAATTCACACATTCAAAGCCACATTTACAACTTAGCGGCAAGAATAAAAATAAATATCTCAGGACAGATTCTCATGAAATGAAAGTAAAAAGAACAAGAAAAGAGTTTGTATTTTGGTTGGAAAGAATATTTTGCTGACATCCATTAATTTGCTCCAACATCCACATTTGCTACTTATATATGCCATAGCGTGTTTCAGAAAGGCGTGGTCACTGACGAATGCGTAGCCTTGATCACAGAGGCTTCCGCGTCGTGTGTCCATAATAAAATAAATAATGCAATTAGAAAATGCTGACATCCAGTTGGTTTTCTCCCATTCAGATAGACCGCACTTTTTAAATTATTCTGTATATTTTGCCCATCTATACAGCTGGTTATTTAGCGATGCTTAAAATCACTGTACCTCTCAAAGGGTAAGACGACAGGGATCTCACCAGGGCTGAAAACTGCAGAGAATGAATCTCCTAGTCAGTTTAATTATGTTATATCCAGCCCAAACTAAACACCCCCCCCCTCTCTTTTGGATCTACACTGACTGTTCATACCTGTTATTTGCTTTTGTTGAAACAGTATTGTTAATATTTTGATTTTGGAATTTGGTTCTGATGCTTTCGATTGTGTTTTCATCTATGTACTCGTAATCGTGCTTATCTTCATCATCGTCCTCAACACTCGTGTTCCCACAATTGCTGTTTTCATGCATGGCTGCAGAAGACACAAAAAAAGAATATTTAAGATTGCCCCACACATTATACTTGTATAAAGAGCAACAAAATTTCACTTTTTGTAAGAAAGGAAACAAAAGCATATTAAATGAAGACTATGGTGTTATTGCACTGTCAATCAATCAGAAACAGGGGAAAAGATGCTTAGAATGATAGATTATCCAATCGTAATTACAAAGTAACTAACCTCTTTGGTGATCCACATGTGGAACAGCGCCTTGAGCTGATGTTAACTTCTCACTTTTTGGCGAAAGACGTTCATGAGCTTGATCAGATTCCTCAGGAATGACAGGTTTTAGCGCACGGTTTGGACACTGAAAAGAGGGAGACATTTTGATTTGATATTTGAACCCATGATTTTCAGTCGGATTTCACAAGGTTAAGATATTAATTCATCAGTATTGAGATTCTTTTCATAAGTGCAGAACCATTCAAATCTGTACATGTAATAAGGTTTGCCCTTGAAAATACTGTTTTTCTGTTCTAGCTTAGTGAAAGCTAACGTGAAAGTCATATTAAAAACATTATTGAAAAACAGCACTGATTTTTTTGCAAAGGTCATATTAGCATCATAAATATGGTGATGTATTAGAATTGACTTATTGAAAAGCTATTTTTAACCAGATAATAGTTCTTATAAAATAGCAGCTTATAAAGTTTAGGACTTTCTGTCAAAACTCAAATATCCGATGTTAAGTAATAAGCAAACTTTATTGGAATAATTAATATTCATTGATGCTCATATTCTAAGCACTACTAAATTATGGTGACTGATAGTCAAGAAAGACCAAAACTGTGATTAGTTTTGTCAATTTCTAAGATGTTAATGGAAATTCCCCCACCAATGGAAATAAGTGGCTTCTGAGAGCAACACCCAAATTAGAATAAAGGTTATGACATTTAATTGTTAAATTCAGGTGAACTTGTTTGTCTTGACAAACTGGAATTTACTGTAGATAAACTGATAAGTGCTTTGCGTGTGTGATTATTTCAAATTTACACCTTTATGCGGGTAGCAAGTACTATAATGTTAATGAATAGCAATTTGGCACATTTTCTGAATGTGTGACATTTTAATGATAAGTGGACAAAAATACTGAAGGAGATAACTGGCAAGTTCCAGGTTAAAGGAGTATATACCTTCTCAAGTTATACATGGCATCGTCGTATTTATGTTATATCATATATCATTTCAATTGCCTTTCTGCTGTAATTCAGTGTATTTTAACATTGCTTGTCTTCCCAACCTGTGTGTGTATTAAACGAATAAAGTCTTTAAGACGAATACTGTAATATATTTAACAGTTGAATAAGGACTCGCTCCAGAACACTGTAACTGATCTGCCTGAGCCCAAACACACACCTTACTAGCTTAGCTCTCACTTATACAAGGTTAACTAACATGCATGGTCAGTCAGCTCACCTTGGCCTCAGACCTGACCATAGAGTTATATAACTATAACTGCAAAAATGCTTGGGCTTCGGGCCACTCCAGGACCTTGGCCAGGAAAAGTGGTATGAAAAAGGATTGGATGGATGGATTCTGTACCCCCAATATCTTCCAGTTTTTCAAATCAAAAATTTAACACTGGAAAAAGGTAAACCGCTGTCATATCCAATTTAATCTAAATCTGAATTGACAAACAAATTGAATTCTGACGTGTTTTTGGATGTTGCCTGTTATTTCCATCCCAACAAAGAAGCCCAATGATTTGATTATTGGCCCTGAGGAGAGCAGTAGGGGATCTGTGGCCTGATCTACATTCACCTATCAATCCATTTTCAATGGCTGCTCACCCAGCAAAACCTCTGAATGCCTATTAGACTGATACCACTGATACCACTTAAGTAAGCAGAGGGAACATGGACATGGGCGCTGTAATGCACGGGCTTTCCCAGGCTGAAGTGCAGGGGCCTCTAAGGTGCTGCTGGGAGTGGAAGACGGCAGAAGATGATCGTACCTTTGGCGAGCCTGTGGGATTAGATCTCTGCTCCTTTGGCAGCGGCAGTCTGACCGATTCCGGCGGGGGCTGTTTCGGCTTCTTGGGCGGCCGGGGCGGGGGGCACAGTGTGGCCGAGGCGTACCTGCGAAGGGTGTAGTAGCAGTCCTCGCCGATCTCCTCCACAGCGGCGTGTGCGTAGGGCTGCGGCCCGGCACCCTGCTTTCTGGGGAGGACCTGCACGGTCATGAAGGTTCGGTTGACAGGCACCTCCCAGCACTGCGACAAATCCGGGCTGGAGACGAGCAGATATGGGTCTGTGATCTCCTCCTCCAGACACAGCCCAGGAACAGCTGCCAGGGTGTCCTCTGGCACAGAAAGGTCTCGCACCGACACTTTGACATTGAACGGAAGGTGGAATCTCTGGCAGACTTCGGAGATACTATATTGCTTTTTGTCATGGATAACTTCCACAAAGGCGCCATCCAGATACAGTGGAATCAGCACAGACTGATAGTTTTTGCCCTCTATCTTCTCGCAGGCCAAGGCCTCCACTGTCTTGCGCGTTCCTCCATAGATAACCTCGCTAGTTTCCTTTCCCTGTACCAGATACTGGTCCCCCACGAACACAGTGGAAAGCCCCTCATAGTGAGACTCAAAGGCTCGAGTTGCCACCACGTGGAGCTGTTCCTTGTCTCTCTTGGCCACCTCCAAATCATACCCCGTAGGAAACTCTCGTGGCCTTCGCTTCAATCTCCCTTTGTAGGAAAGTGGGATGAGGAAGCGTCTCTGGGAGTCGCTACGGATTTCAGATGCTAGGATTCGTTTCGCTGAACATGCAGCGTGGATGATGATTTGCTTGCAGTAAATAAGGAACTGGAACTCCTCCTTAGTGTGCAGTGGGGGCTCTATAACCTCAGCCAAGATAGGAAATTCCTCACTGGGCTTCTTGAAGATATCACTCAGTGATAACAGCTGAGGGAAGCAGTCACCGTCAAACTGGTCTGTTATGTCTATGACCTCCACGTCCAAAGTGGATGGAATGCGAACAACATCCTTTCGGTCTGGAAGGATACAAGTGAAAAAAGTCATCAACAGAAATGTAGTGCAATTTATATAGTTCCATTTTTCATGATTGATTACCCAGCGGCGTATATCAACAGGCAATTACATATGATTTCACAATAGCTTAAAAATTATTTTTAAAAAATGACTCAAAAATATTTTGACACATATCAAAAATGATAGTTTCGAAACGCATCATCATCTGTCAATCAGATTTATATATGTGCATATTTTTGTAAAGTTTACATTATCATGTGTACCAGAAAACTCAAAGTAACTTTTCTTAAAATGTTTGCAAAAATTTAAGGCGTTTGAGGATTAAGGAATACCTAAGAATGAACTCACACTTCATCACAGCCTGCAGTTCGTAAACGGGTGAAAGGATTAGTTCTCCACTGTAGTTCTCAGGCAGGTCATAGAAGCACAAATCCTTCTTCAGCAAGGCCTGGGCGAGCTTCACCCTCCTCTTCCTGCCCTTTGCCATCTTCCACTCGGCGAGCTCCTTAAGCGTGTAGAACTGGTCGTCCTCACACTCGTAGAATTCCCCCTGCTGAGAGAGCTTCAGCGTGAAGTGCTGCTTCGCATCTCTCCCCGTGACCCTGCACTCCACGTAGCCCTCGCTACCGTCCGACTCAAGAGACACCAAGGTGAAGCACTCGCCCCCCCGCAGTGGCGCGTTGGCCTGCGGCAGGTCGTGGGAGCAGCGGAACACAGGCTGGCCTAACGGCTCAGGACCAATGCGCACGGATCCGGTGATCTCTCCGATGGTGAGGTACGGCCTTTCATCTGCCACGATCCTGAAGAGACCTGAGGAAACGCAGGCAATGTGATTTTTTTATCACAGGCTGACCGAAACAACATATAAATGTACATACATACATACAGCAAATGTCAAATCAAGTTCATCTGTGAATCATCACCTAAATCATTAATATAACAACGTCCCTCCTCCCCTTGTTTCTTACCAGGGAAGTACAAAGGTAAGCTGACGATTTGGGCCTCACAATCCACTGCCTCGATTTCTGCTGTTAGCATGCAGGTGTTTATCCCAATGATCTTCATGATCTCCCCGGTGGGAAGGCAGCATTCTCTGCCAAACATCTCGTACACAGACCCTACAAAGGTATAACAATAATTTCAACAAGTCAAGTGATTCTCAATGAGCAAAGGATACAATTCCCCCCCCCCCCAGTAAAATAACCTATATAATCTTCTCAGCACCCACTTCTCCACCCCCCAGTTTTAAGCAAATATTCAAGCACACCTGGATAAATACACAACTTCTGTTAAGATGCAGTTTACACTTATGACAATAGAAAGCAATGCTTCAAAACCACATACCATTTCAGTTCAAGTACTTATCTCAAGAACATTTGCTGACAGAGCTATTTAAATGTTAAATATTCCTTAAGGTGACAGTGTGCACACATAAGATTGACATAGTTCTTTTTTGTACTTTTTTTAATTGGACCAGCGTGGGGGTAAATGTAATGTAAAATGTACATAGCAAAATTGAAACAAAAAGGAATGCCTAGGTCCATTGTGAGAAGCTGATCTCTCAAACTGTGACGTTAAGAAAGTTAATCTAATACACTCAACACACACACAAACTACACTTCAATGAGACCACAGGGTTAGTGTTGTTTTTTTTTTTAATCACACACACATATTGAAGAAATGCTTCCCAGCATACAGTGGCCTGTACAGTGGCATTTTTTTTTTTTTTTTTAACTCCTCGGAGGCAGTCATTGTGGAAAATAAAATAATTCTGCTGCTTGGTGTTTTTGGCTTCATCTGGAGAAAGAAGTCATTTTTATCTAATACGGTATGTAAAACAGAATTTCAAATACATGTTCATTGAGTGGTTTAGAACAGAATACACACAATGTTAGGCACAGTTTTAGCAACTAAGAAAATGATTTTTCTTTTTGTCAGTGGAAAATAATTTTAGATAAAATTTACTCCTAGCTGTCAGAAATTAGAATATTTGCACATGAATCAGAGGCCGACACATCTATTTATATAATAACCTTATATAAAGCATTTCCTGTGCAAATTCCTAGACAAAGCCTAAACGTTTTAAAGATTGTTTTAATTTTGTTTTTTCCTTTAGCTTACCTTCCACATAAACCCCTGACTGAATGTGCAGCACTCGAGGCAAAGACGCCACATCAACAGTGCGCGTGAATTCATCCAGCATCATCGCCATCATTTGTCGTTGTTCTTTTGGGGAGCAGGATGGCAGTAAGAATATGAAAAAACGATCTCAGAGGAATGACCTCCCTGTGCAGACTGTCCTACACATCCTGGAGAGAGTGCTGGCCGCCGACGGCTCCGTGGGAGAGGCTGAGGCACAGGGATCTCGTCGCACAAAACGGACACGCAGAGCAAAACCGTGACCCAGCCTCCAAGAGACTCACACTCTCTCGCTCTCTCTGCCTCCGGAAACCCGAGACAACTTTGCAACCAGGGTTCCTCCGAAGTAGGTTAGCCTTACAGCAGTTTGATTTTTTTTTTCCTTTTTAAAATTCATGATTTCCTCCTACGCAGTCGCGAGAATATTTTAGGTATTACAACCTGACAGAGTAGTGTGTCAAACATTAATTCTAATTTATGTACAAAAAAAAAAGTTTGGATTTTTAACTTTTAGTATAAATTGAAACAAAGGATGGAAACCCAGACTGGGTCCCAAAATGTTAATACATTGTAATTCCATAATCAGTTATCTATTGAGACAGAATACAGACATTTAAATTGTAATATATTGATGGTATCCAGGAACTGCAACAATGGATGAGCCAGTTTCTATGTACCAATGTTACGACTTATTAGAATGAAACATGGACACATGCTATTCCTAAACACTATGTCAAAAATATATAAAGTGAAAAAGGAGAAATTGACAAGGCTAGACTTCCATTTTTTTATTCAAATTTTTTTACAGCCAAAAAGCCAACAGATATAGACAAAAAACATGGTCGAACTCACAAATAATTCCAACTGGATTTCCCTTTTCTTAATACCTGTGTACATTTCAGTGATTCTGGGTTGGCTACACATTTGATTCCAGTTTGCCTTTAACCATGATGATGTATACTTTAATACTGTTCTACATCTTTAATTCACTTTTAAAAATTGTTTTCCAAAATACAGATACCTCTGAAATCTCAGCATACTAATTATATAAAAAAAGTAACTTATTTTGCCAGCTCTTGACCTTCTGAAATCCTACCCGCGACGGTAAATTTCAAACATTTACACAAACCACTGCAAGTGGTTAGAACAATCTACTACTGAAATTTTACTAAAACTTTAAAAAAAAAAAACCTAGCTATAATGTTTACACTTAAAATTCAGAGCTAACAGGAAAGTAACGTGATTGTTGCTGTAGCCTTCAAAAAAGGAATGCAAGTAAACAATAAATATGAACAATGTGCTTTATCAATATAGACATATTTACACAAAAGTCTTTGGCTTATGAATTATATTTGCTACAAAAAGGAGAGTGAATAGTCAGCCATCAGTGCACAACACAAACATTACAAAGCAATGTTACACGGCAGCACTTCATATATGAATATAGAGTGCATTCAATTTCTTTCACATTTGTGATTGACGTTTACACACGCACGTAATCATTTTTTTTTGTTCTTTAACGCTAATGCTAATATAGAAAACATTTGAGCATGCAACACCTCTGTGTTAGTGTTTCTCTTTACAATGGCTGCACATTAAAAAATATATGTATGTAGAAAGACGGTAAAGCGATGTGTGCCTTGGGACACGCACTCGATCTTGTGGCACTGAGCACAGCAGAGTACAACGGAGACATTTACAGACCACTTACATGATACCCCCAAGTACATTAAGAACAACAGTGTATAGAAGTTGCCTAGTTCCAAGCTATAGCGGAATGATTCAGGGTTCCAGAAGGTTCTAGAATGCTCCTTCCTGATTAGTCTCAATGTACTCCAAAGCGAGGTCATAGCAGAAGCGGTACTGCTCCTACAATTAAGAAAAAAAGAACAGAACAAACATTTTAAGTTCTGATTTTTAGAAATGGAAATAGGGGAGAAGAAAGATAAATTTGAGTTCTATAACAAACTGAAGCAAACACATGTACTGTGCATACTGCAAAACAGGGCTGGATTGAGAGACATTGTGTAGTATTACAAAGGATGTGGTAAGAGGTTTCTTGCAATTGCGAAGGTTTCCTTTAAAATTTCACTGCAGCTTTGTTCTCTTGGGGCTTTTTGTGCTTCCTTGCCCCTTCAGAACTACTCTTAGCAATATTATGAGAACAAAACCTCTTAAAATATAAAGAAAAATATTACTGGCCCGTATATTTTATCTGACTGTAATTAGTGCTATAATCGAACGTGCCGGCGTGCCTTATTCGTTTGGGCTGTATTAATAACAGATTAACAGACAGTATCAAACCCTTGGCTTCAACTGTAACTATTACTGGAATGGATGCCATGCAGATCAGTCAGGCTGTTATGCATGTAGATTCTGAAGCGATATAGCGGCTTCAGTAATTAAGATGTTTAGCTGTCAGTTATAGACTGCTCTGCTTTTCTGTAGTACTGTCAATATCACCAGCCCCTCCCTGTGATTCAGGGACGCTAATGGGCCAGACGGCAGAATATAACCCAACGGGTTGCAGGGTATGACCACGAGGCCGGCTGTGCCGCTGCCCGCTGGGCGGAGCTTCACAGGACGCTTGTCACGTGACCTCACTTACGGGACTCTCCACCATGTTGGGCTTGCTGTTGCGGAGGCTCTTCACTGCGTGGAACACGTCCACCACATTCTGCCGTTTGATCATTTCGCAGACGATGCTGACGGCACAGAACATGCCGCTACGGCCTCCCCCGTTCCTGCAGAGATGTAAATAGGGGCGCGTGTGCGCACGTCTGCCAGCGATAACGAGCAAAGGACACCCAGATGGGCGGGCACGGGGCATGTTGGTGCGCGGCCGCGTGGGCCAGACACTCACAGGCAGTGGATGATGGTGCGCCCCTCCCCCTCTTCACACTCCTCCTGCCATTTGTCCACCTGCAGGATGAGCTTCAGGAAGGAACGCTTGGATGCTGGCACTTCTCGGTGCGCCGCCCAGCCTAGGTACTGGAACTGCCGCACCATAAGGTAGCCCTCCTGAGGCTGCGAAGGGGGACGACACACATGGCACTGGGTTTAGGCTCCGCATATCCCTCCCCTCCAAGTTTTTCCACTCATTCACCCATCATTAGTGAAGCAAGCTCAAACAAACCACGACACCTACCCTGGTGAGATTACATATCCTGAAGAGCCGACTGATGATGTCACAATCCATGGAGCAAGACATACATTCAACTTGGACCGGACCATACCGGAGCATTCCCTCCTCGGGCCAGTACTGAGGACAGCCCTGAGAGAGCAGCAGGAGTCAATTACATAACAATTACGAACATATTGTAGCACCACACATCTACTGCCGTAGCGTCTAATCTGAGGCAGATTCGGAGAATTCACCCCCGGAATAAAATGGAACGCGTGCGCTTTAACGCGAACAGATGCTAATTGGCTAATTAGCCACTGACCTGTGCGAGGTCTATCTCGTTAAGCATAACGAGGGAGGTGCAGCCGTAGTCGTACACTAGTCTCCAGAAGTCCTTCACTGTGTTGGGGAGTGGGTGCTGAGTGACGATGAAAGCTGCGGGCTGCCGGTAGCTCTGTGGGGGAGAACGAGTCGTGTTCAGCGCTCACGTTAAACAGCTAGCTAACCTCTAGCTCATATGCTCCCCAAACACGTTGTGACAAAAAAAGAAGCGATGGCACATCTCTCGTGATGAGCTGTATGTGAACACATGACCATGCAGGAAACTGCATTTGAAAACCTTTCCAGAAATCTGGATGATGCATCGATGGTTTCCAAATCTAAATCAGACCAGGGCATCCACAGTGTCGCATGCTACAGCAATCTGTCTTGATACATAATGAGTTCTGCTGATGTATCATTTAAGCCATGAAACAAATCCAGTTTAATAAAAGCATTATTGACCGATATAAAATTTTAAAAAAAATTACCTGGTATTCGTCTGACGGCTTGATTAAAAAAAGTCCAAAAGTTTGTAAAGTGTATGAAGAAGTTATTTAACATTATCTAAAGATTATATTTGAGAGAAAAAAAAACCCAACTTGCAATAAACTCATCCATCCTCTGTGTACATCTGCGTCTGCAATGAGACTGACTCTTCTGGAGAAACATAGGACCACATGCTACATTTCACGGGAAGGCTAATTGTGTACCATGGTTACCATTTGCACTACTTAGATTTGGGGGGGGGCATGCTTAGTAACCTCATAAGCCAAAACATCAAAGAACTTCCATTTATAGAGAATCTTTTACATTTATGTCCGAGAAAATACACCAAAAAACAGTCTTAAAGGGATAGGCTTAGAGGAGACCCACAAAGGGTTAGGCTTAGGGGAGACCCACAAAGGGTTAGGCTTAGAGGAGACCCACAAAGGGTTAGGCTTAGGGGAGACCCAGAAAGGGATAAGCTTAGGGGAGACCCACAAAGGGTTAGGCTTAGAGGAGACCCACAAAGGGTTAGGCTTAGGGGAGACCCAGAAAGGGATAAGCTTAGGGGAGACCCACAAAGGGTTAGGCTTAGAGGAGACCCACAAAGGGTTAGGCTTAGGGGAGACCCACAAAGTGGCATGTTGGCTAGACGCCATGGTGCCGATGCTGGGTGGGTACTAGAGCACTGCTGTTTTCCGGCAAAAACAGAAGCAACTGTTCCAGGCAAAGGAGTGAGCACTTCAGTACAGCACGAGAAAAGAACCCTACCGGAATGAAGTTAACGTGAGCCAAACTAGGGATGTGGGATCCTAGATCTTTGCTCTAAGTAAATGCCGATATTACGGGAACAATTTAAAAATGATTTTGTACTAGTCTGACAGAAGGGCTTTAAATTTTAATCCCAACACCTTCTGTTATTAACCAGACAAACGGCATGAGTATGGTACAATAACAACACTTACCTCAGCCTTCAATTTAGTGTTAAAACAGTAACTGACATACAGTATTGCTAATGGTGTGATTTCAATTTAGGTTCACATAAAAAGCCAGATTCAAGAGGTATTTTAACATTTGTTGACATTGATTAAAATACAAAGTCTACCGCCTACAATAAATCGAAAAACCCCAGCATGTATCATAAACAATTTAATGATAGCCAAAATGTAAAACCCGGAGGAAAAAAACCCATCACTTACTACAACAAATATTAGGTGTGTGTTCTCCAAAGGAACAAGAAGAAAATGTACACCTGGATTTGTCTCTAGCTTCTGGTTCTACAGGAGTAACACAAAGGTGCCTGACTGAGGCCCCAGAGTCTGACCCTCATGCTGCACTTGGACACTTACATCCATGAGCGCCGCGTTGATGTAGTTGCTGCTCTCCCCATCGATGGTGATGAGGAAGGGCAGGCAGCGATCGGGCGGCAGCGTGTCCATGAAACGGTTCTTCTCGTGGTTCCTGGGCAGC